TGGTGTATCCACTTGAAATTCCACTTGGACTTTGGGCTGGCCAAGTGCAGCCGCTTGGGCTGGAGCTGTGACAAGGCTTGGGATTATCCCTGAGCTGGATGGAGGGGTCACATTTCCCACATGGAACTGGCATTTCAGTCAGCCCCAGGGAGGCACAGTCACTGTGCCCAGTGCTCTGAGGTGCTGTCAGGGGTAAAAACTCCCTGGTGGCGTTGCCAGGGCCAAGAAGCAAACTTGGCTCTGTCAGCTCCCGGTCCCAGCAGGGCTGGGCCTGCTGCTGATGTGTCCCTCAGGAAGGTGCACAGGGCATGGAACAGATCAGATCCTTCTCAGACATTCCCTAGGGCTCACTGACTGCTCCAGTGACCTTGGGTTTTGGCTCCACTCACAATTGATTCAGTAGAGGGGCAGCTCTCTCTGACAGTCCTCCATTCAGAGTTTGATGCAGGACAGAATCTGCAGCTGGCATCCCATCCCAACAGGCTGCTCCCCATCCCATCCCATCCCATCCCATCCCATCCCATCCCATCCCATCCCATCCCATCCCATCCCATCCCATCCCATCCCATCCCATCCCAACAGGCCCATTCCTGCCCTGCCCAGGGCAGGCAGTGAAGGCCAAACGAGCTGCCCTCTCCAGAGGGCTGGGGAGTGAAGCCCCCAGCAAAGGATACATGAGACAAAGTGTTACAGTTTGTTTTCCTGATAAAGAAGCATTTTATGAGGTATTAGGAAGTGGATATTTCACGTGCTTTGTTCAGAGAAAGTTCAACACAGAAAAGGGCTGAAAGAAGATCTGAGTTTTGCAAAGAACTGAACAGAACTGGAAAAAGAAATAATCCTTTAACTCTGTATCCCCTTTCTTTTACCTAAGCTGCTTAAGAACTTCATCTGAATCCCTAACAAAGATGTGTTTCTAACAAAGGCTGTGGGTTCAGGGAGCTGCTTTCCATTTATGCTCTCCCCCTAATGATTCAGTTCTACCAGCTTTGCTCAGACATCCTTCGCTGGGAGGGAGGGAAGAAATACCTGTGAAACCACAGATATCAGAACTTCAGGGAAATGGAGGCAAGGAAACTTTGTTCTTGCCAGGCCCCCGTCAAACACAAAGCACCTTCCCCTTCCCTCACTCTGTGATCTCCTCAAGAGCTGCACGTGGCTGGGATTAAAGCCATTTCCCTGGGCTAATGTGCTCCACACACAGCCCCGTGCAGAACTCGCCCACACAGCAATTAAAGCTCCTGGTCATGATCCCCCCACGGCCAAAATTCTTCAAAACAAACCGGTAGGAAGCGGGTGAGAGCAAAGAGAAGAGCTCAAACACATTTGTGAGGGAGCAGAGCAGCTCCAGCTGGGACAGAGCTCCCAGGAACTGCAATGACTGGCATTGCCTACACCCAGGAAAGCAGAGAGAAAATAGAAATACATCTGACAGCAGCTGAATTCCAGGCATCTATCAAACATTCTGGGTGGAGGGACTGAGAGAGTAGCTGGAAAGCCAAGAATGGAGATCTGAGAGTTTCTGCTTATTCCAGTGATCCCGGGGAAACACCAGGCTGGGACAGGGAGGTGGAAGCTCCTTTTTTTTCCACAGCTAACCTTGACAGGTCGTGTTCATTCCTTGAGGAGTTGCACTGGTAAAGGCCATATTAAGAATTTCAGATTAAGATTACGACTATGAGTGGTGAACCCTCTATAAGCATGCTGTGCCTGGGGACACCTTTGCTGACTCCTGCAAAATGGAATTCCACACCAGGCAGACAGACAGAAAACACTCTGTTTGTTTGGGCCCAACAGGAAACATATCCTGGTAAATATTAGCTAAGATGTAGCCAGGCTACATTTGCTGATTTAAATGAAAAGGACCCTAATTGCTGTATTATATAACTTGCTTTATATAACCTCCTCCAGACAGTCAGTGATACACTCTCCCCATGCTTCTCCAGGAGGGAATTTCGCTCCTGCTGAAGCAAATCAACCCATTTCAGCCGTGTGTGGGAGCAGGGGATTTGTTGAAAGGAGAATTCCTTTGTCATCCTGCCTGCAGAAAGGTGTAATTCTTCTGCCTCTTTGATCTGCTCTGGGGGGAGCTCCAGCAGGGCTTGTGAAAGAGCCTCTGAGGAGGGTGTGGAAAGAGGTAGGAGAAGGATGGGGAGAGTGGGGATCTATTTTCAAGGTTCCAGGCTTGTTCTCAGCTCTTCTGTGATTATTATCTGGTCAATATGTCCAGATCCTCAGTCAAATTTCCAAGGGTTTCCATGGAAGGCTGAATCAGACCTACCAGAACTGTGGTAGCAACTTATCATGACCCCTGGAGTGAGAAGATGGGTAGGTTAGAAACCAGAATTCCTGTAGATTCCTGCAGATTCCTTCCTAATACCTTATAAAATTCCTTCCTAATACCTTATAAAATCCCTTTTAATTAGAAAATTAGGATCCTAATTCACTGGGATTAGGAGCCTCTTTATGCCTAAGGAATCCATGTGCAGCTTATGATGGCCAAGGTGATGCATCCCAAATTTTCACCTGCTCTTCTGGCAAAGCCAATTTTCACGTTATTGTTGTGAAATGAACACCAGAGTCAGCTGAATGTTTTTGAACAATGGGGGTGTCAGAAGGTAAACATTGGAAATTTTTTTTAATAGTGGCTTGCACAGGAATATTTTCTTTTTGCTCAAACTATGCATTAGCACGAATATTTTGAAAGTGAGGCAGGAAAATAAAAGCTGAGAATTGTTTAAAAAGTGTGACCTCATTCCCCTTTCCTCGAGTACATGCTTAAAGTTTAACCTTTGGCAGCCACATTTGCAACCAATAAATCCAACAGCAAAAGTTTCGAATGGGGGAAAGGTACATTACAAAGTGACCTTCATTTTTTTTTCATCCTAATTTTAGTGAGCAGGGGAGAGGCGATTTCAGCCTAAGTGCAGAAGGAAGGCAACTGTGGGAAATAGAAACAAATTCAGTCTCAGGGCTGCTGATACTTACAGGGACATTAAATAATAGAATTTACTTCTAGCTTTACAACATGCAATTAATTTATGCTTAGGCTCCATCACTGTAGTTTAATATTTTATTTGCTGCTGATTATCATATCTGAAGGTCCTTGTAACTATGTCTAATGGGAGGATTTCTGGTTTAGCCAACTAAAAGTTGCCTACGGAGTAAGGGGACCTTGCCAAACAGAAATTCTTAACTTCATGAAAATATTGTGGCAAGTGAACCCTCAGAGGGCACCCAGAGGGGTCCTTTCCTATCAGCTGGGAGTCAAACATCCAACTGGCACAGGCAGTTCTCAAATGTTTAGATGGCTAAAGTTAGATGAGACAAATGTCCCACTAAACTCACATCAGTGTCAGCTGGACCACTCTGGATCATCCCCATCTTGGATACATGAAATTGGAGCTTAGGGGAACGAACCAATTCTTGCCACAAATATTTCGGCACGTGAAATCCAGCAAAATTTGGGCAGCCCATCTGAGAACAATTTGAGCCCAAGCATTTTGCTCTAACCAGAAAGGAAGCCTGGGTGGGATGGGATATGAGGCAGGGTTGAGATAAGGGGTGAAGCATCTTGAGCTTGCTCTAAAAAAATCATTCCTAAGGGTTGTTTTTGCTGTCCCTTTCTATTGGGAAGGGTGGTGCAGCTGTAAAGTAACAATAGCAAACACTTACAAAGCTCTCAGCATCTCCCATCTCATCAAACCCAGGTCCTTCTAAAGAAAACATCCCCCACAGCAGCTGCAGGACCCCAAAATGTTCAGCTCTCTGTGACTGGGGATACTCATCCTTGGAGGCACAGCAGGCTCAGAACACCCTTTGTTTGAGGCAGCAGGGACAATATTTTCCCCTCAAGTCCTTCACTTCTTTCAGTTGTTTGTAGCTGAAGCATTTTGCCCCAAGACACCTGATCACAGCACAGGGTTTGATTCAGCTCCACGAGAAGAGTTTTGGTCAATAAAGACTGAATAACGTGGGGTGGGTCAGCACTGTGCACTCATCCACCATCCTCTCGGCAACCAAACATGTGCTTGGAGGCTGATAACTCAGAAATCAATTATTTCTAAGAACAGTCCTAAGTTTTGGGTCGAAGTCAGGCCCCAGGTCTGCCTGTGAACACAGCAGGCAGCCCCTGACTCTGCAGCAGACCAACCTGTCCCTGTGTCTGCATGTCTGAGTGAGTCCAACACTGGGAATTTTCCAGTGCAGACTGATCCACAGTCCAGTCTGAGTAGAGTTTTCTCCATCAGTGACTCTTATTCCCTGGGTTCCTTGTTAACATGGCCAATCATAAAGGATAAAATCAACGGGGATGCAGAGTTACCCTTTAAGAAAGGATTTCTGAATCTGATCCTTTAGTCTCAGCATCACCTTTGCAATGGGTAAACCCCCAAATTCTCCTGAAATTTATTTTCCCCTTTTATTCTCACCTAAAAATCCTATTTGAGGTGCTTCTGTGAATCCAGAGTTTGAATTTCACCCCTTTAAACACCACCTATAACTACACTAAAAATATACCTTTTGCATCTACCCTTGATTCTTCCCAAATTTGCTCCCCAGGTCACACCCAGGTCTCCTCATGCCAAGGCACCAACACACACTTGCATAAACAGGCCATGATTCATCTGCTAAAAGGCAGGAACACCTCACCCCACCAGTTTTCCCCACAAATGCCCATGATGAAGTTACCTTTTGTCTCTGCTTCCACTTACTCAGCTATGCAGAGGACAACATTAACAGTTGACTGACTCTGAGTTTACTGAGCAAGCCAAAATGATTATTTTTTTGCTGGAATGCTCCTTAGGCAAGGAACTGTTCTTTTCCTCGTGCACTTACCGAAACTTTCCCCCCCAAGTGTGGGAAAATATGCAAATGACACCGCTTTTTCCTAAACGAGCATCTTGAGACTGTGTCAGAATTTCCCTCTTGCCCGCAGGTGCAAATTAAACCTGCGTGTTTGTTGTTTCTCGCTCTCCAGAACAGCGGCAGCAGCAGAGGGAATGTTCAGCTACCTCCGGCAACGCTTCACCAGCCACCTCCGGGAGCGCAGCCGGCGCAGGGCCAGGCTGGTCTCCAAAGATGGGAGGTGTAACATCGAGTTTGGCAATGTGGAGCAGTCCAGGTTTGTCTTTTTGATTGATATATGGACCACCATCCTGGACCTCAGGTGGAGATACAAAATGACTATCTTCATTTCAGCCTTCTTGGGCAGCTGGTTTCTGTTCGGGCTCCTCTGGTACGTGGTGGCCTACATCCACAAAGACCTGCCTGAGTTCAACCCCTCCATAAATCACACCCCCTGCGTGGAGAACATCAACGGCCTCACCTCAGCCTTCCTGTTCTCCCTGGAGACCCAGGTGACCATCGGTTATGGCTTCAGGTGTGTCACGGAGCAATGTGCCACTGCCATCTTCCTGCTCATCTTCCAGTCCATCCTGGGGGTGATCATCAACTCCTTCATGTGTGGGGCCATCTTGGCCAAGATCTCCAGGTCCAAGAACAGGGCCAAGACCATCACCTTCAGCAAGAACGCCGTCATCAGCAAGCGTGGGGGGAAGCTCTGCCTCCTCATTCGGGTGGCCAACCTCAGGAAGAGCCTCCTGATCGGGAGCCACATCTATGGGAAGCTCCTCAAGACCACCATCACCCCAGAAGGAGAGACAATCATTCTGGACCAGGTCAACATAGAGTTCGTAGTCGACGCCGGCAACGAGAATCTCTTCTTCATCTCCCCTCTAACCATTTATCACATCATAGACAAGAACAGCCCCTTCTTCCACATGGCAGCAGAGACCATCCTGCAGCAGGATTTCGAGCTGGTGGTGTTTTTAGACGGCACTGTGGAAGCCACCAGTGCCACCTGCCAGGTGAGGACGTCCTACATCCCCGAGGAGGTGCTCTGGGGCTACCGCTTCGCTCCCATCGTGTCCAAGACCAAAGAAGGGAAGTACAGGGTTGACTTCCAGAACTTCAGCAAGACGGTGGCTGTGGAGACGCCCCACTGTGCCTTCTGCCTCTACAACGAGAAAGAGGCTAAAGCCAAAGAGAAGAAAGGTTATGACAACCCTGGGTTTGTCCTTGAGGTCAGTGAAACCAGCGACACAAAAATGTAGGTCGGGTACTCGTGGGGCTGTCCCTGTCGTCAGAGAGAATTCAGTCTCCAGAGGATTAATGACTTAGTGAAACAAAAGAGAAGCACAGGCTTGTTTTTACTCTGAAACAGCATTTCTTTTCTCAAAAGCCTCAAATCAGAGAGGAGCAGGACACCAGTGATCTCCAGAATGCTATTTAACTGCACTCTATAGGATTTATATTTTTGTACCTGCGGGACATTTTATGAAGCTGCTATGTTGGAATGTCCAACTCAAGTTCCCAGAGGCATGAAAGGGTGTTAAAAATCCTGAAAATATGGAAAGAAGCTTTAGGACATGCTTTAGATGCACAGGAATGAGAACATGAAAAGGGGAGACAGAAAGCAAAGCTGAAGAAACCTGGGGGACTTAGGAGCCAAAACCTCCAAAAAATGTACATTTCTGGTTGCCAAAGTCCTCTGTGAAAACAGACTCTTGGGCATGGGAACACTTGAGCACTTTTGAACATTCTGAAACAATTCCTTCCTTCTTTCTTTGAGGCTGGTACAGCAACAGAAACAGAGCATGAAGGGATGGAACACGCTTAGGAAACCAGGAAAGACAGAGCTGGGGCTGTGCTGCTGCCATCTGGAACTCCAAAATAGGACTTCTCCCCTGTGAAAGCCTTTGATTCCTTTCAGGGGAAAAAAAATAGCCAAGTGGAATTGAAAACTGAAAAGACGAGAAGCAGAGACCCACGATGGGAAGAGGGGAATTTTGCAGCTTATTCCCAACTGTCTCATCCCTCAGATACCCTTCCCTTCCCCAGGAGCTGGATGGCTGTGGAACGAGGAAACATCTGAAGGCAACTGTCCAGCAAGGTGGGGAGATGGAGAACACACTGAGTGCTTCACACCTGGCAGAGAGCACTCCACTGGGAGGAGAGAGGAAATTCCCAGCTCTGGATGTATCCTTCGAAATAATGCCCAAAACAAACACGGATTATCTTTCCCTTTGAAGCACCGAGGTCTTGTTCAAACAAAAACACAGCCCAGGAGCCTCCTACCAACACTTGGCTTCGGATTTAGTCCCAAACCATCCATCTCACCACAGCAAGATGTGCAGCCCTCCAGGAAACACCTTCTGCTTGGTGGGAGCTGAGCAGGGGTGAACATTTTCTGGATATAACTGTTGACATTTAAGTTTCAAATGCAACAAGAAGCTTCAATAACTTTTTGGTGAATTTCTACCCCCCCTCACAACCTTTTTTATTTTCCTCACATGGTTCTGTTGCTGAGAGTTCAAGTGGCAGAGCAAAGGGAGGTTTTTTGGGAGCACTTTCCCTTGATGGAAGTCAGCTCATCTATTTTCAATGCTGTGGTAAAATGGAAATATTGTTAAAGCTGCCAGACTGAGTGGTTTTAAAAGAAGAGGAGAATTAAGCAGGTCAAATGATGGCAAGAGAAAGTTATGCTGCAAATGAACAGTGTGAGTATGGAAATCAAACTCTGGGGACCAGGAGTGTCCAGGTCTCAGTCCCAGTGTAGCATCAACTCCTTTGTTGGTTCAGAACAAATCACTTCATGTATCTCAGATTTACCATCTGTAACACAGGACATAAACACTTACAATGTACAGAGAACAATGGTATGAACAATTATGTCACTAAAGCACTTTAAAAGCCAATTCTCAGCTGTCTCAGTCTTTCCTCTCCTTAAGGCACCACTGTCACACCCTTCTTCACCTCTGGATGGAAAGGTCAGCACTCCAAGTTCTGTCCTCAGCACACATCAGTTACTGAAAGTGCTGCAGGAGGGCCAGAACTGTGGAATATTGAACCACGAGCTGAGACCTCTCAGATTCACACCTATCACCCAATATTTTAACTGTACTGTTTTTGCAGCCTTGCAGACCAACAGTGCCAACTGTAAATGTATTTTTACAGTCCCGGTCACCAGAGTATCTGAGCCCTCCAACCTTAGTGCCCTGCAGATTATCCCCCTGGAGGGGCAATTTTTATCCCCTCAAGCAGACAGTGAGTGATCAGTGGCCATGCACAGAAATCCAGGAGGGAGCAGGGAAGTGAAATGATGTCTCAGGAGTCCCAGGCTCGTCTGAACCAAGAGGCTGCTCAGTCCCTTCCAGAGCTGCTGCTGCATTTCCTTTCTTGGCTTCCTGTGCAGTTCCCTGGGTGTGATTTCCCCAGAAGGCAGCACAGGCAGAAGTCAAGGCTTACAAGCTACACCTCTTAGCCCAAGATGCACCAAAGTGCCCTTAAAAGAAATACCTTCACTGGACAAAAATAGCAAGACAAAGGGTCTATTTGAAGTGTCAAACCCAGCTATGCAATGGGGAGCCAGGGAAGATTCCAGATTTAAGGAAAGCTGGTTTGGGATGTTAGTGCTAGTGGGAAAAATAAATCAAGGTGTATCCAGTGCCTGTCCAGGAGGTGGTGTGCACCCTCCAAAGTTTAGAGAGTCCCTAAAAAATGCACTTTCAGGCAGTGCCCTTGGAAAGCCATTTCAAAATCCTAAACCTCAACGCTCTTCACGACCCAAATATTGGACCTTTTGCCCTGTGTCTACAGCACAGGCACGAGGAGGTGCTGTTCCATTTTCAGAAGTTTGGAGTGCTGCCACAACTCCAACAGAAGCTGCTGGATGACCCTGCAGGGATGGATACCTGTTGTTCCCTCTCCTGGCAGCCCCACCCGCCTCAGAGGCAGCAAGGGAGGGGTGATGGTGTTCTTTTCTGTGTTTTGGGGTTATAGGAGGGTCTGGCCACTGCAGGATCAGGAGATACAAAGGGGATGTATCCAAAGCTGATGGCTTGCTTAGAGCGGGCTCATACTGGGACTTACTGGGAATCCTGGCCTGGACCCCTCCTCCCTGAGCCTCCCGCTGATTGTCACCTCAGGAAGCCCTGCCAGCCCCGAGCAGGCAGGAGATAGAGCTGCAGCAGGGCCAGCACAGCACAACAATGAGTGGAATTTCCTCTTTCTGTCCAGGGAGAGCTGTTTGTCAGCGCAGAGATAAAGCCCAGGCCGGGGAAGGGTTATCGGAGACAGGCGGCACACGGGGCCGGGCGGGACGGGCTCCACGGGGACTCTATTTTGGGGGCTGTCACCCCCACTGCCATTAAAAGCAAGTTCAGTTAAGAGGATGAAAATAAATTTAATCTTGCTGAGCAGAAGTGGCTGGAGGGAACCACAGGCCCGATACTGGAAAAGAAAGGCTGGTTCCTTCACCCCCCACCCGTGACAGGGTTTCGCTTTTCCAGCTCTGCTTGGGGCTCAGGGTTCTCCTCTCCCTGGATGGGATGAGAGACAGATGGGTTTGTCTGCCCATCCTGCCATTAGTCCTTCCACAGAGTGGAACACAGAATCCCAGGATATTCCCAGTTGGAAGGCACCCACGAGGATCATCGAGTGCCACCCCTGGCCCTGCACAGGCCCATCCCTAGGATGCTGGGGAGGCAACAGCCTGGTCCAAACCCTCCAAAGGTCTGGAGAGAAAGTGCTGCTCCTCCAGGAGAGGAAATCACACCACGTACTTGCTGCTGGATTGAGGATTGAGGCCTGAGGGATTTTGCTGTGAAAGCCAAGCAGCCAGGCTTGGGAATAACGTGTCTGCACTGAACTTAATTTATCTTCTCATTTCACAAACAACATGTTTCTTCTACTGTATTTATTTTAAACATTCATTCAAGCTGTGCATAATATTTCAATCATTTTGAAATAGATTTACCCTCCTGCTGGCAAATGAATAAGGCATCCTGCTGACTGCTGGAGAAAGGGCCATGAATTAAAATAACTGCTTTTAGTTAAACTGACATATGCTGGGTACTGTCTCCACACACACTCTGGTAGTAAGTGGTGAAAAGAGACCCCTAAATAATAATAATAATAATAATAATAATAGAAATAACAATAACAACAAATTCTGGCACACTGTTTAGATGCTTATCCTGACTTGCACTGCTGGAATGTGGCACATCACTGCTAATGCACTCCCAGAGGCTACCTGGATAACTCCTGCCCGTACCCAATTCCTTGGAAACTCTGCTGCTCACCCAGAAACAAGTGACCAGTGAGAGCAGCCGAGGTGTCACATCCCCTTCCCTCTCCCGTGCTTACAATCATGGGGATTCCAATGGGAACAGCCTTTATTTCCCTTTCATTTTGCCCCCTCAACCCACCCCTGCCCTGAACCACCATCCTGGGGGTGGCCCAGTTCCTGTTCCCCACATAGGAGAAACCACAGCACAGCACCAGGAATGGGAGCAGAGGGGGAAGCTGAGCAAGTTCCTGAATCTGTGCTCCTTGTGCAGCCCTCTGACAGCACCATCCCTGGCCCTAAATTGCATTTAACCCTGTGATGGTGCCACTGGAAGGCCAAATTCTCTCCAAGGCTGCTTGAATACACACCAAAAAAATACTTCCTGAGGTCAAGTTGACATTCCTGTGGTGGGAGCATCTGCCTGGGGAGACTTGCACTTGAACAAGCTCATGCTGCACAAGACAGGCATGAATTGCCCCTGCTCAGAGGAGGTGGCCAAGCAAGGGGAGGCTGGAGATGGGGAACTTTGTGGCTCTGTTTTACATTGCAGTCAAATTTAAGCACAGAAAGCATTGAGGGGCAGAGGAGGGGCAGGACTGAGCTCTGCTCTGGGGGGACCAGGGAATGGCTGAGGCTGTGCCAGGGCAGGCTCAGGGTGGATCTCAGGGAAAGGTTCTTCCCCCAGAGGGTGGTTGGCACTGAACAGGCTCCCCAGGGCAGTGGGCACAGCCCCAAGGCTGCCAGAGCTGCAGGAGGGTTTGGATGATCCTCTGGGGCACAGGGGGTGACTCTTGGGGATGGGCCTGTGCAGGGCTGAGGGTTGGACTGGATGGTCCTTGTGGGTCCCTTCCAGCTCAGCACGTTCTGGGATTCTGTGAGTCCTGGGTGGGCACATCCCAAGGCAGCAGTGCTGGGACTGCTGGGACAGCCCAGCACGGGGGCAGGTTGGGATGCTGGGGACCACGAGGAAAGCTGGGGGACCAT